CCCCTCCGGCACTGTGGAGGGGGAGGTGGCAGCGGGGACAATGAAAGCTGGCAGCCACCCGTCCTCCTGCATCCTCCTGCACTCTGCTGCACCCCTCCAGGCTCACCCCGACATCACGGGGATTTTATGGTTAACGGGGTGCAGGATCTGGGATGATGATGCCTGTTGGAAATGCTGGTCCCATAGATGACAGGGATGGGTTCCCCCAGCTAGTCTTCTGCCAGCTTCCCACAGCATCCTCCCTCATCCTAAAGGCCGTGTCCCCTTGAGCTGAAGGCATCGCTCCTGTAGGGGAACACTGTGAGTCCCCTCAGATCTCAGCACGTTGCTCTGTACTGAAAAGCTCTTCAGCAAGGTCTGAAATTATCTGCTGATTGTTGTTATCATTGTTATTGTTATTATTTGATGTGCTCATGCTGCCTCAGTGCCTCACCACTGACCTCGGGAGATGTTTTTGCTGTTGGATGTGCTGTGCTTACTGCTGTTGCTGTTGTGATTGCTGGAGGGTGGCAGGGGAAGGAGGGAAGGCAGGAACACCCCTGGCACGGGTGGCCCTTTGCAGATCCAGCTGTGAAAGTCCCCGCTTGGGAGCACAGAACCCATTGCAGGATGTGCAGGGGGAGCAGGCACGGGGCTTACATGCATCCAACAAGTGCACTTTATTTACAGCACTTGCAGGCTTGGTCGCTTCTCCACATCATGGAAAAAATCCCACTCTATGCTATGCCATAAGATCAAATATTTCTGGTCTGGTTTGTGACTCTGAGAGCTCTCAAGAACAGGCAGAGGACAGGGTGAAAGAAACAACAGCCCCAAGGCCCCAGGTGCTGAGAGCCCCACATTTACCGAAACACGGAAATTTGTCATTTGCCTACAGACGTCTCCCTTCCTGCACTTGCCCGCGCTCGAGCTCTGCTCAGCCCTGTGTCACCAACAGTCATTACCCATAAACAGCCCTGCTGCTGTGACTGAAAGTCATTCTGAAAGAAGCACTTAAAATCCCTGTTATGGTTAAAAGGCATAAGGACAGGCGTGGGGCCACTCCTGCCCATGTTCTCATGTCCAGAGTACCAAAAGGCAGGAGGAGAGACCTTCACCTTCCATGCTGATGGGTGGACTTGCAAAGTTGGTCCCTTGAGGTTGCTTAGGGTCAGGGGAGACTTCAGACCCCAGGGATAAGCCCATCCAGAAGTCATGTGCAATTCATGGGGCTGGGGACTCTAATGGGACTGGGGGCTGCAGAGGCTTTTGAAGCCAGTCCCAGGTTTGAGGTGACCTTGAGGAGCTGGTGCTGGGCTGGGTCTGGTGGGTGGATGACACACCAGGAGCCACTGTGTGCCCTGGGGGAGGTGCCTTGGCAGCCTCATCCTTCCCTGGCACCAGTCTGCGGGCAGCAGGGCGATAAGGGAGGCACAGAGAGAACCCAGCCCTGAGCTGTGGGTGCTGCCCCTGGGGTTTCCTTCCCCTTCAGCTCCATCCACCCCTGCTTGGCCACTCACGGTCACCGCCCGCGCTTTGGTCACGCTCCTGGCGTGAGAGAGGCCAAGGTGCCTTCCCAAAAGTCAGGGCTGAGGTTTGGCCGCCTTCCAGGGCTGGGGTGAATTTATTTTGAAGTGCTAGGAACTGTACAGAGCACCAGGAGTCAGGGAAGGGTCAGAATGCAAAACTCGGGGCTGTCAACAGTGTGAAGTGTTTGCCTACGGTCTGCGGCACAGATCTGACTGCAGGAGAGGTGATAATCACCTCCCAACACAGCCATCACCATCACTGGAGGAAACACAGCAGCAGGGTTAGAGACAGGTCCCACGGAGCCGTGCCAGCATTGCTCTGGCAGCGCTGAGCATCTGCTGCAGGTCCTGGGAGGTGTTACAGTCATGGGCCAAATCCTGGCCCCCTTCTCCACAGCCACAAAGCAAAGCCTCCTCCCCAGGAGCAGAATCAGGATTTAAATACTCATTTCCTGCCTCTTTGTGATTTCCTTTGCTAGGTTGCATGGTTGAATTGCTTAATGTACTTGTAAAACAGGAAAAGAGGAAGAAAAATACAGTCCAAAACCCCACCTCACGCTAAGAGCTGAAGCAGAGGCTGCAGCCACCCCGGCTGCCCACACTGTGCCAGCTGCTCTGCACTGGTGCTCCCCACCCCAGAACCCTTGGAGATGACTCAGGTCCTGTTGGAAATCCCTATTAATCCATCCATAAACAGTTCTGCTCCAGACTATTAGAAATATTTAGTTCTAAGAATGTAGATACTTTTGGTTTTTCATAGCTGGAAGGTATTTTTGGCAGAGGTTTCCAAGAACTTACAGGATAAGCTACTCTGCGGATGGCCCCCACCTGCAGGATGTATCAGGCTGCTTTTTCCCTGGCCAAAGCTGTTCCAGCTGGAGCAATTCCCAACCTGCTCCTTGCACACACTGTGGATTCCAGGATGATTTTCCAGCTCTCCAAAATGCACCAGGCGATACCAGAGGTTTGGGTGCCGCAAAGCTTCTCTGGAAGTGACAGTGGAAAGTCCCTCCATATTTCAGAGCTTTCAGCCAAATTTTGCTGTTTGCCCCAGAGGTGGAGCTTTTATTCCAAAGGACAATTGAGTGCTTATGATTAAAATTAGCTCTAGATGCTATTTTAATTGCTCCTAGAGGTAGGAAGGTGCCTCACTCATAGCCTCAGGGCAAGTATTTAGATTTGTCTGTTGATGCTGGTGAACCTGTTGCTCGCTTCACCTATTTCTGAGTTCAGTGCTGGTGTCTCAAATCATCTTCCTTTAGAGGCTGAGGGTCTCTGAGGTCCCATCCTGCTGGATTTGGGGTGTGGGGGAGAGGTGAAGATTCCCTGGTTGTGTGCTGGGGACATTGCCTGTGCTATGGAGGTGACCTGGGCTCTCTGTCTTCAGACATCACTTATGCCAGTGAGCAGGACAAATGCAGCAGAGGTGGTTTGGTTTGGGGGTTTGGAGTCCCTCCTGGAGGTGGTAACAGCATCCTGCTCTCAGCTCTGCTGAGATCACCCAAAATCCTTGAGGTGTGTGTCACCCCCTGTGTCAACAGGGTCCTCCTCCAGACTTTGAAAATAGAGCGGGGATATGGGGTGTGGGGCTAGGGGAGGAGGCCTTTTGTGTGACTCCTATGATGCCCTCAGGACTGCAGAGCCTCGACTGTCTCATCCATCTCTCCCCTTGGCCCCCATCCCCTGACTTCAAATCCCATCACAGGACACGGGTACGGTAAATACCAGGGATGAGGTATGAGGTGGTATGAGCTGTGTCAGGGATTCCTGGGGACACTTTGCACTCAGGTGTGCCAGGATTCAGCAGCATCCCAGGGCACCCCTCGCTTTCTGGGTGAGCTGCATGGACAAGGAGAACGAGCCCTGTGAGCTCGGACTGCCGGCTGCCTCCTCGCCCCCTCGCCTGGGCCGCGTTCAACGCCGCGGCTGCTCATGCCATAGAAGGGAAGATAAAGCCGTGGCTTCCCAGAGCCTTGGAGCTCTCCTGCTCGCTGGAACTGCGCCTCCCCCCAGCTCCAGGAGGGGGGCTGCAGGGGAGGCGGGGACAGGGGCGGCTGTTTGCTTTCCCGTGCTTTTTCCCAAGCCAGGCTCCCTAATCCGGGCTGGATTTGGCCGCGCCGCTGAGCGGGGCCGAGCCGGGGAGCAGCCGGCACAGCGGGCACAGGGCTGCTTTCCTTAGGGATGGGAATTTTTAGGGACAGCTCTGCCGGGGGCTGGAGAGCATTTTAATTGCTCCTAGAGGTAGGAAGGTGCTTCACTCCGTGCCTTCAGGTGAATTTTCTCACCCCCCGTGCACCTATGCAATACCCAGAAGCACATCTCAATGATGGGCATCAGGGACCAGATTTGCCCTCTGCCAGCGAGGCCGAGCCGAGAGCCTGCGAGCTTTGCTTCTATCTTTCAGCAACTGATAAAAATACATCCAGTCCTTTTTTCTTTTTTTTTTCTCCCATCCAAGTGACTAAATTAAACCCATGCAGGGCTGGAAGGCATCCCACGGAGCTGTGTTGCTGGAGGCAGCTCCCGGCTCTGGGTTATCTCAGCCCCGAGGCAGCAGTGGCAGCGTGCGGGGCTGTGCAGCGCATTCCTGCGCTCCTGAGCTCATTGCTTGGCCGCCTGCTCCCGCCTGCTGCCAGCCCTGCACAGGGGCTGGACCGTCTCTGATTTATGGCTATTTCTCATTTCTCACTCCTGCTCCAGCTGTGTCAAAGCCCATCTGTGTAAGGCCCTGGCAGAGCCCTGTGTTTGGGGGGCTGCAAGGTGCCAGGGACCAGACTGAGCTGAGCGTCCCAGGACAGGAGAAGGGTGGCAAGGGAGTGCCAAAGCTGGGCCCTGCCAAGTGCTGCCTGCTCTCCCCCACCAAAAGTTTTGCTGCTGGAGCCCATTTTGCACCAGCACCGTGTCGGTGGGGGTGGCATCCCCCAGGTTTTCCAGCTGAATGCTACCTGGTGATCTCTCTGGGATGCAGGGAATTGGCATGAGCTTGAGGCTGCCTGATGGGCAGTACATGCACACCCATAGGTGCCCAGTGCTGGGAGAGGGCAGGGGGCTGGGGAGAGGCCACTGCTCCACCAGGACCTGTGTTTTAGCAGAGCTGATGGGGGCTCAGTGCAGGGTGTTCTCTGCCTGCAGCCACCTGCCCCACTCTGTTCCCCCCTGCTCCAGCCCCCTCTCTCTCTGCCAGAGACAGCTAAAAGCCCAGCAGCAGAGGGGATCGGCTTCCCAGGAGCTCTCAGCCTTGAAGACACAGAATGGTGAGGAAAAAATGTGTTTTCCCCCTGCTTTGCTTTCTCAGAGTGATATTAAGGAGGCAGTGGTCAGGCCCCAGCATGGCACCAGGGAGGATGGGGAGGATGCAGGCGCATGCTGGTGCAGGAGGGCAAACAGGGCATCCCAGAGACAGCAGCATCCCCTCCTGTCAGTCAGACAGAACAGGAGACCCCAGAACAGGAGACCCGACAAGCTCTGTGTGCTCTCTGAGCCTGGCAGCACCATCCCAATTTGGACCAGAGAGATGGAGGGAGGTGTTTCTCCAGTGGGAGGAGGGCAGTGCTGAACCCGGCCCTGGCACTGGCAGGTTCAGCTGCCCAGGGTGTGCAGGCAGCCCAGCCAGGGGAGGCAGCCAGCGCTGCTTCAGCCGTGTTTGTCCTGCAGCCAATGCCTGCCTGCTTCCTGAGCACGGCGAGAAGGCAGCGCGGCCAGAGGAGTGGGCGGAGAGTGCCAGATTCCTCCGAGGCCCGGAGGAAGAGGAGGAGGAGCAGGATGGCGGCCGGGCAGGCACTGCCAGCATCTCCCAGGACATCGAGATCCAGGTGAGCTGGAAGAGCTGGTGCTGCTGGAGGCAGCAGCTGGGCATGGAGCATGTCACCAGCCTGGTCTTCCCTGGCACATGCTGGGCTCTCCCATTTTAGGGAGAAGCATGGGTCTAAGAAAGGGTGAGGAAGCCCAAAGCAGTGAAGCTCTGCATCCCTTACACTGAGATTTCTTATCCAACTTCTTCCCAGGTGGAAAAGAGAAAAGAGCGGAAGCTGAAGGAACAGCTCGATGCCCTGAGGAGAGAGCACACAGAAACCCTGCAAGGTGTGTGCCAGGGCAGTGGGGCTCCCTGCAGCCCCCCTCTCCTGCTACTGCCCTGTCCCTTTGGCTGCCTCTGGGGCCATGGGGATGCTGTTCCCTGCTCTCCACCTCTGTGGGGCTCAGGTGGAGCCAGCTGCCCCAATGTCCCCACTCTGGTGGCACTCAGCTCATGTTCCCCCACAGAGCTCCAGGGAGCACACGAGCAGGAGAAGCTGCTGCTGACAGAGTCCCACCACAGGTCTGAGGCAGCCTTACAGGTACCAGCAGAGAAATCCCTGGGAAGGGGGGCTTGTGGGCTTGTGGAGGGCTGAGGACCATCTGCTGGTTCTGCCATGGTGCCCCATATGGCCACCTCAGTCCCTGGTGTGCTTGGGGACTGCACCAGCTCCTCCAGCCCTGGTGTTATTTGGGTACCACAGCCCAGAAAGCAACCCCAGATACCTCTCATTCTGCTTTTTCCCTGGTTCTCCTAGGAGAAAATTCAGGCACTGAATTCTCAGCTGAAATCCTTCCAGGACAGGATGAAGCGGGTGGAGGAGTCACTCCTGAGAACAGACTACAAGAAGCACATCCAGGTGCAGGGAGGGTGGCACGGAGGGACCTGCTATGGGGTGCTGACCCAGAGCCAAGGGGCCTCTCTGATGGACCCTGGCAGGGGGGCTGGAACCAGAGGGGAGCACAGGACAGCTGAAGGGGGGAGCAAAGCCTGTCCTGGGGGGTGTTGAGCTCCCTTGGACACAAGTGATGGCCCTGCAGGAGCACGGGAGCCCCAGCCCCTTCTGGGAGCAGGAGCTGGAGAGCCTGCACTTTGTCATCGAGATGAAGAACGAGCACATCCATGGCCTGGACAAGAAGCTGCTGCACCTGGAGAACGTGGTGGGTTGAAAGGGGGGGTCACACGTGGGCTTTCCTCTTTTCAGCTCCTCTACCTACCTAAATTCTGCCCAGAAACTGCAGCAGGAGTAAAGGTGGACGGAGCCCATTTCCTCTCCTGGCCTGGGGAGGAGATGGGGGAGTAATGGGAAGATGGGAGAGCCACCACACCAACTTTTCACCCAAAATGGGGTGGCAGGGGGCTCAACAGTGCTTCCCAGCTCTCTCCTCACCCTCCTGCCCCCTTCCAGGAGGAGAGGAACCTTCAGCTGGAGGAGAAGGTGAAAACTCTCCAGCAGGAGAACGAGGACCTGCAAGTTCGCACCCAGAACCACTTGGTCATGGCGAGGTGAGCGCTGGTCCCACCCACGGGGGCACAGGTGACATCTCTGCACT